TGACAGCTGATTCTTAGCAGTGCTTGGGCTCTTCCCAGTTCTCTTGAGCATGTATCATGTCTGTGTCAGAGATTTTAGAGTTATTTCAATCAATAAACATTTATTAAGTGCCTGGGACCCTGAAAGATGATTCTATGATCTTATAACAGAGTTGATATTTTAGGCCCTAGGCCAAGTGCCATTATTAAGGATTGATAATTAGACTTATCCATTACAAATATTACTTTGGTTATGGAGTGAAGGTTAGAGAGGGGATAGCCTGGAGGCAGGTGACCCACTAGAATACTATAAGCAGTCAAGCATACAGTGGAAAGAGTGCTGAGTTTTGCAAATAAGCAATTGGGTTGAAGGCCTCCTTCTGTTATTAACCTGCTGGAAGACCTTAGATAAGTCACTTTCCCTCTGGGCTTGAGCTTCCTTATCTATAAAGGCAACTTGGACTAAATGATTTCCAAGTTATCTCCTATCTTTGAAGATTTGTGCTCTAAAACTTGTCAATAAACTTTGCAGCAGGCTATTGTGAATGCATCACTGGAATTCAGGGGATAGGTACAAAATTGGGAATCAGATTGATGGGCTGGATAGCTGAAGCTAAGTAAGGATGGATTTGTCAAGGGAGTAAAGTTGCCCAAAGACAACTGACTACACTTAGGGATCAGGAGAAAGACCTAAAAGGGAGCATTTGGGGAAATGGAGAACCAGAATAGAGCAGTATAGTGGAAGCCAAGGTTAGTGGGAGTATCATGAAAGAGATAATCAATGGCATTAGCTGTTCTCAAGTATTAGTGTAAAGGAATATTTTATTTGAATATAGGATTTCTAAGACCAATGCCTTTTCTTTAAACATTTCTAACATTTCAATTGAATTCAAGTTTATCTGTTTGGTTCTAATTCTTCCATAATGCATTTCCATTATTCAATTCAGACAGAAGGGGAGGAATACAGGAATGTATAAGCTTGCATATAGCTATTTGTATTTCTGTCAGAATTTGGAAAAAATATTGGCAAATGTAAGAGTGACTGAGGAAGATTGCCCACTATGTGATTATCTCCAATTTGTTATATATGTGTTTTGTTCCTAAGTAGTTGTTTGCATGTTGTTTTTCCCCAGTTGACTGTGAGCCCCTTGAGGGCAGTGCCTATTTTTGCTTTTCTTTGTATCCTTAGCACTTAGCATAGTGCCTGGCATACAGCAGGCACTTGATAAACAGTTGTAGATGTGACAATGTTATTTATAGCAATTTGGATCCTGTGTAGGGAAGGTGGGGGTGTGGGTATAGGACAGAAGTGTGGAAAATTTATTTTATTTTTATGAATTATTTGGACCTTTGAAAGGTAAATTAAAAATTGTCTTGGATTTTTGTTTAATATAAATTTATTTATTTTTAGTTTTCAATATTCACTTCCACAAGTTTTTGAGTTCCAAATTTCTCACCCCTCCCCCCACCCCAAGATGGCATGCATTCTGAATACCCCCTCCCCTGGTCTGCTTCTCTTCTATCTCTCCCCCTCCCTTTCTTATCCCCTTCCCCTTCTATTTTCCTGTAGAGCAGGACAGACTTCTGTACCCCATTTCCTGTATTTCTTATTTCCCAGTTGCATGTGAAAACATTTTTTTTAAACTGAGTTCCAAATTTTCTCCCTTCCTCCCTCCCCACCCACCCTCATTGAAAAGGCAAGCAACTCAATATAGGTTGTACATGTGCAGTTATGCAAAACACTTCCTTAGTAGACATGTTGTGAAAAACTAACTCTATTTCCCTTAATCCTATCCTGCCCTCCCATTTATTCTATTCTTTCTTTTGACCCTGTCCCTCCTCAGAAGTATTTGCTTCTGATTACCCTTTCCCAATCTGCCCTCCTCTCTATCACCCCCTGCTCTCTTGTCCCTTCTCCCCCTATTTTCCTGTAGGGTAAGACAGATTTCCATACCCAATTGAATGTGTATGTTATTCTCCTTAAGCCAAATCCTATGAGAATAAGATTCCTCATTCCCTCTCACCTTCCCCCCATTTCCCCCCACTGTGAGAGACTTTTCTTTTCTGTTTTTTTTGTGAGATAATTTACCCCATTCTACCTCTCCCTTTCTTCTCTGAGTATCATCCTCTCTCATCCCTTAATTTTATTCTCCAGATATGACCCCTTAATCTTCAACTCACCCTGTGCCCTCTATCTATCTATATACACATACATACAATTTTTTTCCTTCAACTACCCTAATACTGACAAAGTTCTCATGAGTTACAAATATCATCTTTCCATGCAGGAATGTAAACAGTTCAATCTTAATAAGTCTCTTATGATTTCTCTTTCCTGTTTACCTCTTCATGTTCCACTGGAGTCCTGTATTTGAAAGTCAAATTTTCTGTTTAGCTCTGGTCTTTTCATCAGGAATGCTTGAAAGTCCTCTATTTCACTGAATGACCATTTTTTCCCCTGAAGGATTATACTCAGTTTTGCTGGGTAGGTGATTCTTGGTTGTAATCCTATCTCCTTTGCCCTCCGGAATATTATATTCCATGCCCTGTGGTCCTTTAATGTAGAAGCTGCTAAATCTTGTGTTATCCTGATTGTGTTTCCACAGTACTTGAATTGTTTCCTTCTGGCAGCTTGTAATATTTTCTCCTTGACCTGGGAACTCTGGAATTTGGCTACAATATTCCTAGGAGTTTTCCTTTGGGGATCTCTTTCAGGAGGAGATCTGTGGATTCTTTCAATTTCTATTTTGCCCTCTGGTTCTAATATATCAGGGCAGTTTTCCTTGATAATTTCTTGAAAGATGATGTCTAGGCTCTTTTTTTGATCATGGCTTTCAGATAGTCCAATAATTTTTAAATTCTCTCTCCTGGATCTATTTTCCAGGTCAGTTGTTTTTCCAATGAGATATTTCACATTGTTTTCTAATTTTTCATTCTTTTGGATTTGTTTTACAGTGTCTTGATTTCTCATAAAGTCACTATCTTCCAATTGCTCTATTCTAATTTTTAAGGAAGTATTTTCTTCAGTAATCTTTTGGACTTCCTTTTCCATTTGGCCAATTTTGCTTTTTAGGGCATTCTCCTCATTGGCTTTTTGGACCTCTTTTGCCATTTGGGTTAGGCTATTTTTTAAGGTGTTATTTTCTTCAGTATTTTTTTGGGTCTCCTTTAGCAAGCTGTTGACTTGTTTTTCATGATTTTCTTCCATCACTCTCATTTCTCTTTCCAGTTTTTCCTCTACTTCCCTTACTTGCTTCTCAAAATCCCTTTTGAGCTCTTCCAAGGCCTGGGACTGATTCATATTTTTCTTGGAGGCTTTGGATGTAGGAGCTTTGATTTTGTTGTCTTCTTCTGGTTGTATATTTTGATCTTCTTTTTCACCAAAGTAAGATAATATAGTCTGACTCTTTTTGTGCTGCTTGCTCATGATCCCAGCCAATTACTTGAGTTTTAAACTCTTTGTTAAGGTAAGAGTCTGCTTCCAATATGGAGATCGTACTGTCCCAAGCTTCAGGGGTTTGTGTAGCTGTTTTCAGAGATACTTGTAGGGACCTGTAAATTTTCAGTTCTACCAAGGTGGTATGATAAGGGGCGAGGTGTTTACTCCTTTCCTGGCCTGTGACCACAAGTACTCCTTTCTGTCCCATAACTGTGAGGAGGGGGTCCTCTCCCCAGCCACTACAAGCTCCACCCAGCCAGCGCTCCTCCTCACCCCAGCACTGCCGCCCAGAACTGTGACCCAGATCCACACACGGGGAAAGCAAGAGATTCCTGCCTCAGCACTGGCAAAGAGATCCCTGCAGTCCCTCTCTGATCAGCCACTGGATTCCCCCTCAGTCTATGTGCCAGAAGCAGCTGCCCCTCCCCCCCAAGGGCCATGCTCTTGGGGAATGGAGCTGAAACCCCACCTTCCTCTCTGACCACCCACAGAAACAGACTTTTCCCACTGACCTTCTAAGTTGTCTTTGGCATTCCTAGATTGAAGAGTCTGGAAACCTCCACAGCTGCCTGTGATTCAGTCCTCTGAGGCCTGCTCCAGGTTTGCTGCAGCCTGCCTGCCCATGCTGCACTGTGCTCCCAGCCCGGCGTGATACACCTTTCTGATCAATCATCCAGGTTGTCCTGGGCTGGAAATTTGTCTTTTTGTGGGTTCTGCTGCTTCAGAATTTGTTTAGAGCCATTTTTTATGAGTATTTGGACTGGTTTGGGGGAGAGCTCAAGCAAGTCACTACTTTCACTCCGCCATCTTGGCTCCGCCCCATGCCTTGGATTTTTTTAAAGTCACAATGGGATGATCCAGATGATACAAAGTCTTCAAAAGTATTCTTCCTACTTTGCCATTTAATGACTTTTATAATGAATTTTACTTCTTTAAAAGATGTTCCACCTCATATAGCAGCCCATTCCATTTTGTGACATTTCTCAGAATGTTTTTCCTTATAATGAGCCCAAATCTACCCACTGATAATAGCTCAGCCTTCTGTGGACATACAAGTCTAATTCTTCCACATATCCCTTCAAATATTTGGAGACAGCTATTATGTCTTGCCTTCCTTTTCTCCTTCCTCCCTTTCTCCCCTACTTCATTTTATTTTCTTCCCTTTTCCTCTTCCTTCCTTCTCCCCTTCCTTCCCTCCTCCCGTTTCCTTCTTTTCCTCCCCGTTTCCTTCTCTCCTTTCCTTCCTCTCCTCCCTCTCTCTTCTTTCTTCATTCTCTCCCAGTTTCTTGAATTCAGACACCTTAGCACTAGGGAGGAAAACTAAAACCAAACCAACCAACCAACCAAAAAACCCCCAACACTATGGGGCAGCTAGGTTGGTGCAGTGGATAGAGCACCAGCTCTGGAGTCAGGAGGACCTGAATTCAAATGCGGCTTCAGACAAGGATCACTTACTAGCTTTTTGACCCTGGGCAAGTCACTTAACCCCACTGCCTAGCCAAAAAGGCAAACAAACAAAAAACCAATACTAGACTTCAAGTCAGAGGATCTGAGTTCAAATCCAAGTTCTACCACTACTACCTGTGGGACCTCTGGTAAACCTTTTAACCTCCCAGGGCCTCAGTTTCTGCATCAGTAAAACGAGGGGGTCGGTCCCGGAGGTTCTCGCCGGCTCTTTCCAGCTGTGGGTCATGGCCTCGAGAGCAGCCTCCTAACCGCGGTCTGGTTACGAAGGGGGCCGGGGCAGGAGGCGCCCCACGAGGCTGGCGAGGAGAGGGGCGGGGTGAAGGGCGGATGCCTCGAGAAAGCCGAAACAAACAAAAAATGGCCATTCTGGAGTAACTTGTAGATGTGACGGAAAAGCTGAGCCACGATTTGGATCTGGGTTCCAAGCCGGGGGACATCACAATTCCGCCGAGGGTGACAGCGCGCCGGGCGTCCTCCCCGCCCCCCGGCTGCCGATCCACTAGGGAGCAGGTAGATTCCCCACTTCTCGGCGAGGACAGGGCGGTTCTCCTATCGCGAGAGTTAAACGCTCGTGGCCTGGGGGAGTAGCCCGGGAAACTGGCTTATGGTTGCCAGGGGAACAGCATTCTCGAATTCGCTGGGGGTGCTGGTCCCGAGAGAAGCGGAGGCGAAGACGCAGAAGGCCTCTTCCGCGGAGAAAGTCTGTCACGTAGTGTGGCAACAGGAAAGGTTCTGTCTGCGCTTCGCACCAGATTACGTTACGTGCACAACTGCTGGGGACTAAATCGTGTATCTGTGAATTCAGAGGTGGGTGAAAGACGCGGACGCGATTGGCGAGGGGGCGGGACCGACCGCCTAGACACCGACCAATGAAGGGCCGTACCTGGAGCAGGGGTTTGGGCTGCTTTCGACCGGCAGGGACTTGGGGTCGAGTCTGTGAAGAGGGTAGGGGATATCCTACGGGTACCAGTGATGGGGCATGACTATGTTGGAAATGTCTGTGGAGAAGAAGAGCTAGTTGACAGGTATTTGTGTAGACGGAAGGGAGCAGGGGCTATGTGAGGAGTCCAATGAGAGGGTCGTGTGAAGGCAGGGCAAGGCGTGACCATGTGAAGTCCAATGAGAAGACGGGGCGGGACCATGTCTAGGTTGTCCGCTAGGCTAGGGGGCGGGTTAATGCCAGAGGCCCAATGAGAGGGCAGAAGTGAGACCTTAAGGCGTGCCAATGAAAGGACTAGGGCAGAAATGTGGGGGGTGGGGTGTGTCTCTGAGCGGTGTCGGGGCGGGGCAGGTAAGGGGGAGGAGTTATGTTGGGAGGAGTCCAGTGAGAAGAAGGGCGAGGGCTGCTAGGTGGCCCGGTGGATGGAGTTCAAATATGATCTTAAGACGTTTACTAGCTATGTGACCCTGATTAAGTCACTTAATAGCCCTGTTTGCCTCCTTTTCCTCATCTGTAAAGTGAGCTGGAGAAGGAAATGGAAAAAACTCTACATCTTTGCCAGGGTGAGGAACAGCGGACATGACTAAAAAAGACTAAACAATGAAAATCGCTAAGGGAAAACTGATTTTCTGTCTCCTTCCTCCGTATCACTTTTATATTCCCTGATGCTCATCTATTTTGACAATGGTCCAGGAATGTGAATAATTCTGTTACAAAACCATTTTTAATTAAATTGTAAAATTTTCAACTAGCAAGCATTTTTTTTTTATTCCTCCCATCTCCCTCATCGTGGAGGGGAAAAAGAAAAGCAAAATCTCATAACAAGCACAGTAAAGCAAAACAAATTTCCATGTTGGCCACGTCCAAAAATGTATGATTCCATCACTTCCCTGTCAGAAGGTGTAGAGCATTCCTTGTCATTGGTCCTCTGGAATCATGGTTGATTATTGTGTTGATCAGAATAACAGACTTTTAAATAAGCACCTTTATATGATCAGTAGAAGTGTAATTGATCTGCAGTTTTTTTCCCCTCCACTGTAAAATACATGTCTTCATTTGCTCGAAACCAGAAACAGTTGTAAAAGTGCACTGACTAAATTCTATTCTAAATCATGCCATTTGAAAGAGTAGTTCTTCCTGGCAAAGACATAAATTTAAACTAGGGAATACAATGAAGTGAGCAATGGGTAATGTCAGAGGGCTAGTGTAGAAAACATTTTACTGAATTGCTTGAATTTTTAGACTGAAAGCTTAACACTTGAAATTTCACTGAATGTAATAAAGGGAAAATATAAATTAAATAGTTTTCAATATTAACGTAGTACAAACAAAGCATAAGGGTGATTTGGGTTAATGAGGAACCTATTATATACACCTCGAACTACCATGCAGCCTTCCATTTTCTTGTGATATTTATTTTGAAAATCAATATGCTGTGATTTGAGCATCATCATAATATAATTTAACAGGGAGCTGGCCTTGGAGTTATGAAAACCTAGTTTCAAATCCTTCCTCACATATACTAGTTTTGTCTCATTGGCCAAGCCAGTTAACATCTCTTAAATCTATGAATTGCAGAGCAGGAGCTAATCTGCACTTTCCTCACTGACAATGTCATATGCCAATGGAATCACAGGTCCAGCTTTAAAAAAAAAAGCTACAATTTATGGCAGGTCAGAGCTCAGTGATTTGACAATGGGTATCACATTTTAAAAGGAACATGCACATTTAGAGGTGGGTGATTAGCATCAGAAAGTTGTTGAAAACAGGTTTTACTCCCTTCCCTGTACTCTGTGATCAGTGATACTGGCCTCTTTGGGTTCCTTGAACAAAAGCCTGCATTTCTGTACTCTGGGGATTATTCACTGTGTCCCCAATATCTGGAATTCTTTGCCTCATCTGTACTTCCTAACTTCTCTGATTTCTTTCAGGTGCCAACTAAAATTCTACCTTCTGCAAGAAGACTTTCCCCATCTCAATTAATGCTAATGACTTCCCTCTAATTATTTCCGATTTATCCTGTATATATCTTATTTACACCTAGTTCTTGCATGTTATCTCCTCCATTGGACTGTGAGCTCCTTAAGAGCAGGGACTGATTCCCCCTTCTTTGTATCCCTAGTATTTAGTACCAGTGCCTGATACATAGTAGGTACTTAATAAATGCTTGTTGACTTGACGTATGATTACATGAAAATGAATGGTTGAAGGAACTGAATATATTTATACTGTACAAGATATGACAGTGGAGACATAATAGCTATCTTCAAATATTTGAAGGGATGTCATGTGGCAGAAGAATTAGTCTTATTGCTGCCTAAATATCTACCACAATGCAGAAATTGTAGATGTAAAAACCTAAGTTTTATTATGTTTAAGTCTGGGATCAGATATAAAAAAAAATGAACAATGATGAAGATTCCAAAAAGGCTTCTTATAGACAAAATTATGTCAGTGTGACAAATAATTCTTTTACATATTGCAATCTTGTACATTCCTGTTAGGCCATGAAAGTTAAAAAAAATTAGATTTGTGACATTGAAAGAAGCATTTGGATTATAAAAGTTGAATAAATTTTAGTTAAGCAAAGTTATAATCTCATACATTGCCTTAGGAAACAAACCTAGTTAAAAAGCCTTTAGCTAAACTAAGTCAGTTTACAGCTTAAAGTACATTTAGAGAATTCTCAGTTGGCTGATTTAGAGGGAAGATTTACGTGTCATTAAGATAACCTGCGAGACCTGGTATCAGGGAAATCTTTCCTTAATCAGTTAGCTAGGGGAGCTAACAAGTAACTACATCATTTGGAGAGCTTCAACTCCCTTTTGGCTTTTATGGAGGAATATCAGACAGGCTTCCCTTAATGTTGTTGTTCTAGGTCAGGTTGCAGTGGGAGAGCTGGTTCGGAGTCGGCAAGAATACCAAGGCCAGAGTCCTTGTAAGCAGGGCTTTGTTGTGGTGTGAGAGATGGCCTAAAGTGCAGTTCCCTCAGTCCGAAGCCCTGAGTTGAGTTTCACCTTTTTTCAAAAATCCACCTCAGCACTGGCAGTTCCTGGTCACTCCCACTTCCTGGAGCACACATACATCTAGTTCCCAAATATGGGTATGTTTGCTTCTATTGGGTGTCAGTTGCCGCGTTTAGATTGTACGCCTTGAGTACCCAGCCGGTGGGGGAAGGAGGTAAGAGAGTGGGAGGGGGCACGCATTAGGGCTACAGAACTTTGCTTCTCATAGCAGCTGGCTGTGAGAAGCAGTCTCTGGCTGCTGCTGCTTGAGCAGCGACAAGGGCTGTGCCCTTTCTCATGAGAAAGAATAAAGACCTTTTCTGATCTCTGATTCATACTCCAAACTCTTGATTTCGGTGGTCACCGTCCCACACAGTGGTAAAAGCATATGGAACCAACCAGCTCAGGTTACTGGTTGGTTGGGTGGAAGGGAAATGGGAACTTGCTTATATATCAGAGCTGAAGGGGGAGTAACTTATGGAAATTTGCTATGGCATAATCTTTTGCTGTGCAAGCAAAAAACACTTGTACCTGTGCTTTGCTGGGTCTTCTGGGTGGCTATCTTGAAACAGCTATACTTTCACCCTCCAGAGTCCCTTCATATTCATGAGATGTTAATGGGGGCTTTGACATCACATAAGGACAGTGAGGAGTCTCATTGCTTGTGTGGTCTTGGGAAAGTCCCCTGACCACAAGGTTGCTAGTGATAGGGTGGGCTGCAGAGTGGTGAAGTTGCCTATCCATCATATGGGGAAGTAGTTGTCTATGCAGCAGATGGGGGAAAGGGCTAAGAATATAGGGGAAAGGGTTGCCTAAGCAACATATAGGGAAAGGATGGGGCCTCACTGCTCTGGGGGGAAAATAGGACTTTGCTGTTCCTACTCCAAGGTGAGGTTAATAATTACAGAAGACAGTCTTTGAGTCAAACAGAAGTTGCAGGAGGAATGGCCCAGTGCCCTGAATAATAACATTTAATGAAAGAAAATTAAAATTCCCATAAGAAGACTAAAAGTCATAAAACAATTGCTAATCTTCAGTGGCAGTCTCCTTGTTCCCAATAAATCACAGATTTGAACACCACCCCCAAAATGAGAGAACAAAATGACTATCAACCTTTAGAGTCTACTGTAAAAAGATATTTAAGAAAACTCAAAGTAAACCCCCAAATCTTTTTCTCCTGGTCCTTCATTATTACTTTATAAAGAAGGATTTTTTAAAATGTTGCTTACTTTATGTATAGAAATGTTACAGAGACTATGTACCCTGAATAACAAACATGAGCTAAGTGGATCAGGAGGTATGTTTAATATGCTCTAATTCCATATATGCAATCAGTTGTCAAGTTTTGTTGATTCTACACCTCCAGCAGCTACCAAATCAGTGTATTTCTCTCTACTTATAACAGAACCATGTTAGTTCAGTGCCTTATCATCTCCCATTGAAACTATTGGAATAGTCTCTCACTCTCCCATCTGCAATCCATCCTCTCTATACAATATCTAGTATCAGACTTATACAGAAATAGTCTACATAGTGACTACAAATTAATATTATTTATATTATATTTTCATTTATTTTGTTAAACTTTTGCCAATTACATTTTAATCTGGTTCTGGCCATGTTGGGAGTTTTGCTGGCCTCGAGTTTGCTACCCCTACTCTATACTGTTTTCTAATTCAAGGTTTCTTAAAACTTTTTCTACTTGAGACCCCTTTTTGGGTTTTGGCAGTGTTCTGGATTGCATGACCTGAGGGCATGCGCATTGCAAAGTGCACATGCTTTGTCTTCAGAACCAAAGCTGCCATGAAGTTGTACACCTTGGATTCATTACATATTTGATTTTTAATTAATTTTTGGTCTTATATGTTCAGAAACCTTTTATTATTGCCAAAATTTTCATGACCCCCTATGGGGTAGGAGACCCACATAACTGATGTTCTAATTGATGATCTAATTGATGTTTTTAAAGCACAGGTCTTGACACTTCCCTGATTAAAAACACCTCGGCTACCCATTGTAATAAGAATAAAATGTAAACCTCTCTTTCTTGCTTTTAAAGCCCTTCTCAGCCTGGCTCCAACTCTTCTTTCCAGACCTGTCATGGATTACTCCGTATCTTGAACCTAACTGGCCTATTTGCTCTGCTCCCTACACAGTATTCTGTCTTGTGTTCCCATAATTTTATAATGTTCTTCTGATTCATCCCTGCCTCTTGGGATTCTTAGCTCCCTTCAAGGCTCTGCTCAACTGCCCCCTCTCTCAAGAGGCCTTTCTAGAGTTTTTTGTTAGCATCCCCCTCCCCTGTTTTGTATTCTCTTTGCATATATCTTGAATTTACTTATCTCTGTCCATTTTGTATCCCTCAGTGAAATGAAATCTCTTAGAAGGCGGGGGCTGTCTTTGCATTCATAGTGCTTAGCACAATGCCTGGAGTATAGTAATGCTTAACAAATATCTGTTGAACTGAGTGGAATCTGTGAATGGAATCTTGGAGGAAAAAGTAGAAATTTAATTTCACTTGCAACTGGGTGATGTAAAAATTACTTAGAAGAATATGAGGAATGATTTCTCTAAAGATTAAGCAAAAAAGAATTGAAGAAAACAAAAGAACTGATTGAATATTTTCCTTTGACATCAAGTCTCAGCCACATTCATCTATAGTTGGAATGAAATTAAATGGTTAGTTTGTTTTTGCCACATGCAGAGTAGCCAAGTGGGTAGCAGGGCTTAGTGATGTGACCACGTGAATTTGACTACTTGTGGCAAAAGTCTTGTCTTACAGACCAACCACTGTTAAATACACTGGGAGGTAATGTTCCCTGTTAATTTGTATCTGAGTCAGGTGATTTTGTTTTGTATATCTGCTGGAATAAACAGTTTTTAGAGCAAACTCAGTAATGTCCCCAGACATCTTGCTACTGATTACATAATATTTTCCATCTCTTGCCTCCAGCCTAGTATAAAACCCCCCCAAAACAAAATAAGCTTCACTTTATTCAAGGGAAATGAATCTCACCATGCAATCCTTTCTTTTTAGGCTATAAACTACAAATTTGGGGATCTATCTCTTTACTTAGTGGATTTTGTTTTGTTTTGGTAGGGGGAAGGAGTAGTAATCTTTCACGTAGAACTGTTTAACAACAATATGTTGGGAGACATTCTTTCTGTTTCATTATTTTCAGGAACAGGAACAATGGAAACAGAAGGGTAGGCCATTTTCTGAAGAATTTTTAAGCTTAAGGAAAGTGAAAGACAGACTTCTGGTTACTCTATTTGAGGTTGGTTTGTCATTGGTACTTAGAATAAGCTTTTGACTTTATTGACATGTATTATCTGTGTTAACAAAATGCTTCTGTCTCATTGCTCCTTTTTAAAGGGACAATATCTTCTTTGACAGAATGTTTAGGGCAGTTACAAGATATGTGACCTTTTAGTAAATTTTGACATTTTTCATATTGTGTGTGTTATCCAGGGTGATCCATCACGTAATAATAGCAATGTCAAGGCCTGTTCCTAAGCCCAAGCCTTTCTAAAGAACCACAATGATGTTGGGATAAATGACCTTTTCATTTATTGAGATAGACAGGGTCAACACATTTGGGTCAAATAAGGCAATAGCCCAGGGACACTCAATAGCTTGAAGACAAATATGTTATACCTGCCTCTGTTCTTTTTCCTTTCCAACTTCAACACTTTTGTGTGGACTCTTTCTTTGCTCTTCACAAAAAGAAAGAGGGGAATGTTTTGCATGAAATTGCAGAAAATTATATTATTATGCCTAAAGGGGAACAATCACTTGCCTTTCTCCATTCCATTGTGTTTCTCCAGAGAAAGAAATTCTTTTAATGAATGCTGAATGCAAATTAAGGTGATAGGTTCCAGGGAGAGTGAAGTTGGAATTTATACACTCATCCTTGGTGAAATTAGAAGAAATAGAAAGTATTAAGAGGAAAAAATCTTGAACCTTCCCATTTGCTTCCTTGTCTGTTTTCTTCCCTTCCCCTCAGACACATATACTTACCTAACATTGTGGAGTGACCTTCATCAAATTTCTGATCAAATAATACATTCTAGAGTTTAGGGAGGATTTGAAAAACATTTTTTCCAGCCAAAAATGAGAAGAGAGATTTGTAGAGTGAGTCTAGAGGATGGTAACTAAGATTGTGAAAGACCAGGAAATCATATTTGAAGGGACTGGGCAGTTTTAGTGTGAAGAAAAGAAAACTAAGGAGGGAAATGGTGGCCAGTTTCAGATAAATGAGGAAATATGAATAGAGGGGGAATAAGCATGAAGACAAAACTGAGGACTATTGGATGAAAATTACAATGAGACAAATTTTGGCTTAGTAAAAAAGAATATTCTAAAAATAAGCTGTTCACCAATAGAATTTCCTGGCACGTGGTGAGCTGTGTATTATTAGGGGTATTCGAAAAGAAGTTAGTTGACCATTTACCAGCAATGCTATAGAAAGGATCCCTGTTTTGAGTAAATGATTAGACCAGATGACTTCCTTTAAAAAAGTCCTTTTCAATTCAAAGTTTCAAGTATCTATGATGCTCTGATATAGTGAGGAGTGCGCTTGTTAAAGAAGAGGATGTAGTAAAGGCAGGATGAGAAGAAACAAAGAGTGCTCTTATGAAATGATCAACTCAGGGGAAAGCTTGGATCAATTCTGGTTGGGATGGAAGAGCCTAGTAGGTATTACAGGAAGGACATGGATATTATAAGCATTTCTTTTGGTGACCAGTAATGTTAGTTGCAGGCTTTCTTTCCACATCAGTACTTTATTTGTTCCATTTGCCAGATCAGTCACCCCATGTAGTTAAAAATTTTGCAAAGTGGCAGCATGGTCCATAGAATAAATTGTTTAGATGCAGGAGAAAAGCCTACAGTCTGACTCTATTAGCCATATATTTTTTATAGCTTAAGATTTTGTAGGTATTAATTATTTAAACCTATGATGACATAACTTGATTTTTTTGGTCTTTCAGGATTTCAATGGATATTATAAGAGGAAACTTGGATGGAATTTCACGACCAGCATCAAATTCAAGAATTCATCCTGAGAGCAGAAGTTCAAGTGCTTCTTTGGAAGTCTTGACACCAGAACCAGTGTCTATTAAGGTAATTTTTTTTGTTGGAAGTGATTTCAGCTTCTCCTCTTTAAGCAATTGTGAAAAGCTAAGGTGATTGTTAAGAAGCTATTTGAACTTCTCTGAAGAAGTTCACATATATTCAAGAGGCTTTTTGGATGTTCTAGCATCATGGGTACTAAATAGTACCCTCATTTTCCTCTTTTGGACATTTCTTTTTTTATACTTTTTCCTGATGCACTTTGGTATAAATTTTATTTTAACTAAAAAGAATGACATTCAGACTATTATTTAATAGGCTTCTATTGACTCATGATATACAAAAGGTATAGTATCTAATAATTGAAGATGATTTTGCTAATGGGAATATGCTACAATGCTTGATGGGTCCATTGCCTATATGGCTTCTGTGTTTTATGATCTCGTCTGGTTTGTTTAAAATAATCAGGTAATCATTTTAGGCATTTGTTTTCTCATCTGTAATAAGTGAAGATCTATATTTGCTCTTATTAAGATTAGAAAATAAATTAATTGATAAAATGATTCTATACACTGATTCATTCATGCACTTGAGAAACATTTATCATAATCTACTATGTCTAAGACATTTTGGTAGGGGACGAAAGATAACAATAATAAAATAGGTAACATTTATAGCATGCTTCCCATGTGCCAGGCACTGTGTTAAGGGCTTTGCAGTTGTTATCTCTTTTAATCCTTGCAGCAACCTGGGAGGGAGGTGCTGTTATCACCTCCATTTTACAGATGAGGAAACTGAGTCTGAGAGAGGTCAAGTGACTTGCTCAGGGTCATATAGCTAGTAGGTGTTGGAGGCAGAATTTGAATTCAGGTCTTCCTGGCTCAGGTCACTGTAACTATGGAGACACCTAGCAGCCATGAAGGAGACATAAAGAAGTATAAGACATGGCTCTCGCTCACAGGAAACTTAAAATTTAATAGAAGAGAGAAGCATTTACTTCAGTAAATGGAATACAAATTAAATTCATAAGAATGGTATAAAATGAAGTGATGTAATTGTTCTGAGAAGGAAAAGAGCATTTTCCGGCACAAGAGATTAAAAGGGCCTCAGGTAACATTTGAGCTGGGTGGAAGGCAGGAGAGCAGTTTAGGAATAATAAGGGGTAATCATGGCAGAGTACTGGAATCTGTGAGATTCAATTAAACATTTTTTTAATTGCCTATTACGTTCGGGGCACTCTGGAGATGCAAAGACAAATGTGTTCCTGCTCTTAAAGAGTTTGACATGCTGACAGCGCGTTCAGTTTGAAATATCCAGTAGGCAGTTTGAGATGTTCAACTGTAACTCAGGAGAGAGACAGTAGGGCAAGTTATATATATATTTTGGAGCCCATAGAGATGATAATTAAACCAGAGAGAGAGAGAGAGAGAGACACACACACACAGAGATACAGACACACAGGCACACTGACACACACACACAGACACATACACAGACACACACAGACACACACACACACACACACACACACACACACACACACACACACACACACACCCCTCCCCCCTGACAGAGAGAGATTGAGAGAGTGAGCCTTGGAGGACAGCCAGTCAGGGGGCATGATATGCAAGATGGTCCATCATGGGAAATTGAGAAAGAACAGTCAGATAGATAGGACAGCCAAGGGATAGCAGTGTCACAGAGATCCAGACAGTATATAAGAAGGGAGAATGCTCAGCAATGTCAGAGGCTGTAGAGAGTTTGGGAAAGTGAGGACTGAGCAGAAAGAAGCTGGCAGCTTTGGCCCTGAAGAAAGACAGCCTCAATAACTTCAGAGGTGGCAGTAACTTTTAGGAGAGTCATTGGTAATTTTTTCATGGTCTAAATGTACCAGTTGCATGTTTTTGTGTCATGTTGTGCATGGCTGATCTGTTTGACTTTCTAGTTTCCTTAAAACTTCTTACAGCTGTACTGTTCCTCATGGTTACATTAACCCTTCATGGAAACAACCCTCTCTGAGCTACGGTGGGCAGAGATCAGATCTGAGGGGGACAAGAACATTATTCTTTTATTTAAAACTATAAACATTTAGCAAGCACCTGCTGTGGGCAAAGCACTGTGCTGATGCTGGAGACACAAAAATAAATGAAAAATAATGCCTGTCCTTAACAACCTTACATTCTGCTGGCGGATACAAAATGTAAACAAATGAGTAAATACAAGATAATTTGAGGAGGCAGAGAGTACTAATAACCAAGAGGATCAGGAAATATTTTCTATAGAAAGTGGCGCCTTAGGTAGCATTTGAAACTAGGCCTTAAAGAAGGCTAAGGATTGTATGAGGCAGAGGTCCAGGCTTGAGAGTGAGCCTGGGCAAAGCGACGGAGGCCACAGATGGAATGCAAAAGTCAGAGAATAGCAGGTAGGTCAGTTTCTCTGGAAAATAAACTGTGTGAAGGGGAATAATGTTTAGAAATGTCTGGCACAGTCAGAGCGTGAAGGGCTTTAAGGCAACAAACATTGATTTTTAAAATTCCGTAGGATTATAGGACCTAAAACATATAGGATTATAAAGGAAAGCAACTGTATTGAAATGGTTATCACACTGATATAGTTAAAAATGTTTATGGCCCCTCATCTAGAGCTAGAAGGGACCTGAGGTAACAATTATCAACGTCTTTTTTATAAAAGGGCACTTTGAGGCCCAGAGCCACTAAATGACTTTCTAGGGAATTGTTAACTTTTCATTAGAAAAAGGCCATCTTAGATTTTTACGCAGGCAAACAGGACATTGTTACATTTCTTTTTTTTTTCTTTCTGTTTTGTTATAAGACTAGAGAGGATGGAAAAGAAAGAACAAAAGAGATAAAGAGCTGATAAGGAGTGCTGGAAAAACAAGATGAGATGTTCCTTATTGCTAGGTCAGAAGCAGATAAAGTTCTCTCTAGTTAGAGAGAAATCAAAGTCTGGATGGAAGAAGCAGCTGGGCAGGGATTTTTGATAAAAGCCTCAAAGCATATTCAAAAAATCCAAACTAAAGAGTTCATATTTTATTCTAGAGGTAACGGGGAGCCACTAAAGATGTTTGATCTGGGGAGTAAGATACTTAGACTTGTACTGTAGGAAGATAATTTTGGCATCTATGTAGAGCATGGATTGGAGAGGAACAGAGAGATCAGTTTTCAGTTGTGAGAATTTAAGAGCTGTGTCTTTACTCTTGGCCAATCAGAAAGCCACAGATAACATAGAGGTGCTGGTAGGCATAGCTAATGTTTTACTTTGAAAAGAAGTTTTATTTTTCTCAAATTCGTGTTTGATTTTCATGGTTTCTGAGTTCATTGGGGTGAAATTTAAGCTACATTTGTTCAGTTGATTTCAACAAAAATTAAATACTTACCATATGCACACTGTTAGTGTTGCAAAGATTAGGAATGATGTAGTCCTATCCTTTAATGAGTATAAAGCCATTGTGGGAGCCCAACATATATCACACAAGGTGGCCTATGGTGCAAAGGGGAGACTGAAACAAAGGGCTCTCAGGGAGGGTGGAGGGAGAGTCAATGTTTTCTTAGCCCAGTAGTATGGGAAGGAAGCAGTAGAGGAGAGAGAGCATGGGGACTGGATAACATAGAAAAGGATGGTGGTGGTGCCAATTAAATACAATTTTTGTGAGTTGAATGATTTTCAGAACTCATGCACAAATCTGTTATTGTCTAACTCAAGTGCTTTCTTTCCTTTCGGTCCCTACTCACCTTCAGTGGATATACAATGTGTACTGATAGCCGTATTGTTTCATTATAAATATCTTATAACCATTAAGTTCGTTCTTTTGGATGAATGATCCCAGTATTTATTTGGAACATAAATCTTTTATTATCCCCAACCACTTAACTATTTTGGTCATTCTTTTTTTTATGCTTCAAAATCTTTACATCTTATCTAAGTTTTGAAGCAGAAAATTAAATATATTGCGCTAATAAAAGCCTAACCAATTTTGAATGTAGAAGGAAGATTGGTATATAGTTTTGATACGCAGGCACTATATTTGTGACATACATCCTTGAGTTATGATATTTTTAAAATAAGAATTTTAAAATAACTAACAACTGTATTATTGACCTGTGTGTACAGAGCTTCAGTACTATGAAAAACCCAAGATTTTGTTATTGTTAAATCACAAATTTGGTCTCCTATATAAAAGGATAAGGTTCATGAAAGTTAGTGAATCCTTGTTAGTCAGATTCAAGGAAAATCCATCCAAATTTATGCTTTATTAAAGCTGAAATAGGTATATATATATTGTATATGGTCTGCCATTTTCTAGGAATGTGCTATTTATAGAATGTTATCTTGCAAGGCAAATTGCATCCCCTCTATGCTTACTAGATGACTTTATGAGTTACTGCTCAAAAATATTTCTCATCTGGTGTCTAACCACTTGCTCAGGAGTCTTTCTGTACTTGGACAACTGACATCCCATCTGTGACCAGGCCTGTACCTGAAGCTTTTCAAGCTTAGCAGGACCTGCCAGAACTTGTGCTCAATTGGCAACTTTTCAAGAACCCGGAGTCACATCTGTGCCGTGATGTGATGACAAGATAGGACTTAAGTGGAGGTGCATTTTTAAATGCTTATCAATATGGTGATGTAGGGTTATCCCACAGTTAAAGAACGGAGAGGAGTTTAAAATTATGGACCTTTCAAGAAAAAGATACACATATGTCATATGCATTAGGTGATAGGAATTTTGGAGTTTATTTTGAAAAGTAAAGTCTCATGAAAGTTGTTAGACTAGAATAAGGAAAATTCATCGCAGTTTGTTTCAGAATAATGGTGAGTCACATGTACATGGTCTGCTTTTTTACTTTAAAGTAATGTGTATCTATAAAATCTTATGCTTCCTAAATAAAAAAAAAAGTTAAGGTTGACTGTGTAATTTTTTACTTCTCTGAATTCCAGAATGGGAAGGGACTTGAGAGGCTGCTCCACCTTACTACCTAACTAAACCCCTCTCCAGTGTCCTTAGCAAATGGTTGTCTTGCCCTCACTTG